GCGCGAGGGGGAAGGGGCTCCGCAGAACCAGACACCGTTGCACATGCAGTGCGCACCAGGAGGCAGGAGGACAACCCCCCAAAGCTACATTCGGACCTGGGCCAGAGAAACATCCCTCAAGAACATGAGACCCTCCGCTGGCCCAAACACACGCACAAACAGACACACACACACACACAACATTCAAGGGTACCTCCCCAGTGCACAAGAACATCCAACAAACACGAAAAACGCTAGGGTGCCCTCCCCGAACCGACCTCGATCTTATACATCGGTCCGACTGTACGTCAAAACGAACCCTCCACCTCCACCTTCCATACCTTCCAACCTCAGTGGGAGGTGCGGACGAGTTCGTCGAAACCTTACGCAAGCCAAGGAAACCCACATGTATGATCCCGGGCTCCGGGCCCACGGGCCCCCCCCCCCACACAGATGGTATGGTCCCAGGATTCCTCGGGCCCCTGCCCCACCCCCCAGATGGTATGGTCCCAGAGACGACGACGACGACGACGACGACGACGACGGCTGCGGCGGCGACGACGCCGCCGGCGGCGGCGGCGACGACGACGATGACGACGGCGACGACGACGACGAGGACGACGAGGACGACGAGGATGACGAGGACGACGAGGACGACGAGGACGACGAGGACGACGACGACGACGACGACGACGACCTCTGAACCACCACAGCACCACACCACATCCACAGGGGGGGGGGAGGGGGGCACCGCAGCGCAGCACCACGCCACGCCCACCTCTGAACCACCACAGCACCACACCACATCCACAGGGGGGGGAGGGGGGCACCGCAGCGCAGCACCACGCCACGCCCACAGGGGGGGGCGGGGGGGACCATCGCGCGGGGGGGGGGGCCCAATGGCATCAGCATTGGGGGGGGGGGGCCCAAGCCCTGGACCATACATCATATCGAACAAGGGGCGGAAGGCTGGGGCGGAAGGTCAGGAACAGTTAGGGGGAGGGAAGCCAGGACGAGGCTAAATTCGGGTGAGGATAAATCGAGAATCTCTGCAATCGGGCGGCTCTGGAGGATATCTCGGGCGCCGCGGCCTTCTCAGAGCGTTCCGGAACGCTCTGGAACAGAACTATCCTCGTCCTGGCCCCGCCCGATACGTGCATCTTTCGTTGGGGCTCCCAACTTCGCGCTTCGCGCTTCGCGAAGCGCGAAAAACTTCGCGCTCTCGCGCCGCCCCCCCAAAGGGAGAAGAGGAGAACGTGGAGGAGGGGGAGAAGGAACGAGGACCGCGAAGCGCGAATAACTTCGCGCCCTCGTGTGAGCCCTTGCTGTTGGACGCGCATGTCCGATCCGAACATTCAGTGCAGATCTCTTGCAGCAGATCGTTGCCCGAGAGGCATGACCAGAAAGCGCTCGCCACCGAGCATATACTCTTAGGTCGGGCATGTCCCCCTACAGGCGGATTTTGGACGAAAAATCGCAGGCCCCCTTGTGGGGCCACCAAGCTGTGGGACGAAGGTTTGCTGTTCCCTGCGCCAGTTCCAGTTTCCAGTTTCCAGTGTTACAATTTTGCTTCTTGCTGCTTACTGTTCCTTGTTGATGGACCGCGCGAGGGGGGAGGAGCCGAGAAGGACCCTGGCTACCACGCCCGCATCGGGTGCTCTGAATTCCTGGGGGGGGGCGTGGGACACGTAAAAATACATTGAATTCGCGCCCCCGAAGCCATAAACCCTCGTCAATTACACCATGTTCGCGTCCCCGATCCCATAAACCCTCGTAAATTACTCTGTATGTTCGTGTCCCCAACCCATAGACCCTCACAAAATACACCATATTCGTGTCCCCGAAGCCATAAACCTTGGTCAACTGTGCAATGCTTGCGTCCTCGAGGCCACAAACGCTCGTAAATCACGCAATAGTCACGTTCCCGAAGACAAAAACACTCGTCAATTACGCAATGTTCGCGGTTCCGAAACCGTAGAACTTCACAACTGAAACAATATTTGCGACCACGAAGCCATAAACCCTCGTACATTACACGAGAATCGCGTCTCAGAAGCCATACACCCTCGGAAATCACGCAATATTCGCGTCTCCGAAGCCATAAACCAGCGTAAATGACGCTATATTTGCGAGCCCGAAGCCACGAACCCTCGAACATTACGCGCGATTCGCGCATCCGAAACCATAAACCCTCGAAATACAATACCGGATTCAACAGTATCATCAGAATCTAAATTGCCTTGCCGATTACTCATCGTCTTCGCGTGAAGTCCCGACGCTGCTTCACGGCGGCGCCAAGGCCTCATGATTTCGCTACTGCATTGCCCATTATCCGAGCGAGGGGGCCGGCGGCAGGGGGCGAAGCCCTTACAGATAAAAGAACAGCTACAGCCAAAATATGCAAACAACAAAAAGACAACTCAAACAAATCGTCACCACACGAGTTCTGTTTTTTTATACTCCTGCTGTAGAGGGACAGGCCCGACTTAAATATACTTGTAAGATTTCTCAGCGCGCGTGCGCGTCGCCCCTGGGGTGCAGACCCGGATCCCAGACGCCATGATTTTTCGTGACGTCGACCCCCAAAGGTTTCGGCCTATTCCCAAGGGCCTGTTTCTCATCCTGAGTTTTCTTCTGACAGTCCCGAGGCCCAGTGAGGGCCCCCAGAGCCCCCAAGAAATTGTTTCGCGACTCGAGGGGGCCTGGGGACGCACACATCGTGTCAGCATGCTTGGGTGATGCCGATGGGCCAGGGGCCCGAAAGGCACACTGCCCGCGACCTCGGCCTGCCCCTGGTCCTGCGCCCCCCTCGGACGGGGCAGTGGGTCACGGTGCGAACGCGCGCTCCCGCCCGCCCACCCCCGCCTCTGGAGGTCCCACCCTGAGATCCGACGCCTCGCAAAAATTGGAAAATCGCCAAACATCATTGAAGAGGCCCCAGGACACACAAATAAATACACACAAATAAAATAATTTCCCGTATTTTCCCATATTTTCTGGGTTTCTTTCTTCCCCCCCACTTCCCATATTTTCCCATATTTTCCTGGGAGTCGACGATTAATTGTGTCTGTGTGTTTTTTTCCCTCCTGAATCATGACCGGAGCCCAAAGACTCATCTTTCTGCGTCGCTGCTCGAGCCGGATCGAGAATGGCAACTCCTTCGATCCTCGAAGGCAGGGCCCTTTGTGGAACGCTCCAGGTGGTGGATCCCCCCTGAGCCCCAGATGGCAAGCGATGTCCTCGAGAGACCCCTCCCACGAGACGGCCAAAGACAAGAGGCGACTTGCAGATTCTCCTCCTCCTCCCCCGCATCCTCCTTCTCCTCCTCCTGGTGCTTCCGCAGGGCCTCTGCGGGAGAACTTAGGTGGCCACCGACAACTCAGTAACATTGCGCCCAAGACTGGCCGACAAGTCCGTGGGGCCCGCAGAACACCCCGCAGAACCGTGGCAGAAGCATGATGGGTACAGCGCCGCTTCAGGGGGAGTGCGGCAGACCTCGCGCCAGAAACATCCCGAGATGTCCCGAAGATCTCGCGAAGACCCTTTCGAGACACGGCTAAACATTGAGGACATGCGGAAACATTGTGGGTTCATGTCGGAACGGCCCTCGCCTCGGGGCCCGACCACAAGAAACCTTCCACAAGAAAGCAAACCCTGAGACCCCAGGGCGTCCATTGATTTTTGGTGTGGGAATGTCACGCTTTCCATCGCAAAACCATCGAAACCCAAGAACCCCAGGGCTTCCCTGAGACAAGCAGGGTGTTTCTTGGCATGGGCCCCCCACTGCAACGCAGGCAAGGCGGAGGGGTTCTATTGAACACCCCAACGACTCTGGCCAGCGGAGACACAGATCGACCGCAGGAACTCCGGCTCGGCCGTCGTGTCCGACCGGCTTTGGCGAGACACCCTGAAGATCTCCAAGCAATCTCAGAGGACAGAAAATCCACCCCCATCAAAATCACCCCGACATGCGAAGCCGTTCAGTAAACGCAGCCACTGAAGGAATCGAACAGGGCAGTGCTGTGCAGTAAACGCCCACGGCCGTGTAATAATCGCCAATTCTCGGGTCTGTGTGGTTTTTCCTCCCTTCGATTTTCACTGGGGCGACAACCCAATTCCAGATACCGCAATACCTTGGCGGCGCACACAGGGGGCCGGCGCGAGGGGGATGGGCTTCTGAGAGGGTGGCGGGGCTCCGAAGAAGGCAACAGGGCTTCTCAGGAGCACGCCTGGCTTCTAAGGAGACGTTTTGAAGCCCCCTGGTCGCTCTAAGAGGCCCCCCTGCCTTCTCGAAGGCCTCCGACATTCTTGAAGAACCCTACCCCCCTCGCGCCACCCCCTGGGCGCCGCCAAACGTCGGCCGCCCGAAACTCCAACGGCTTGAGATGGCGAGTCCGCTGGCGGCGGCAGAGACTCGCAGCGGGGACGTGAGGGAGAGGCAGCGGCAAGGCCTGCCAAACCACATTTCTCATCAGCAGAACCAACTGTCAGGACGGCACGTCGTCGTATGCTCACGGAAGGAGTACTCCGGGCAATACTCGAGCGTGTGGGGCTCCCAAAGTTTTCTGTTGACCCCGTGGTGCTTCCACGGCTTCAGCGGGCCAGTCCAATGCAACAGCTTCGCGGGCTCTAGGATGTGCTTAGGGTAGTTCAGCCGGTGGCCCAGACCATCAACGTTCCATGTCCAGTCCAATGGCGCCACTTCATCATGAAAAAGCAACAGCAGCGGTGGCTGGGATCCATGGCGCCATACCTGCCTCTCTGCATTTAAAGAAATCCATTCTGCAATGAGCTGTGTGATGGAGCGTTGCCGCCATTTAGCGAGATCGATAACCATTACGCCAGCATTAAAGGACGGCGCCTCACTTGGAATCCATGTTGGCATCGCTGGTTGTAGAACGTCCACGTAAACGCGGAGTGGTTGGTTCGTGCGCGTCACCGCTGCAACGGTGCTCTCATTGTGGGTGCCAGAGAAAAGCGGCGCATCGAACAGCTCGCACAAGTCCCCCTTCACAACGACGTCAACATCCAGAATCGCACACCGCCATTTGCTTGGGGTGGCAAGGCGACTGGGATGTTCTGCTGTCCACCTCCTCACTGCACCGCCCTTGCAGACGTGCTGCAGCGGACTTTTGCATGGAGTTCTGCCAATGCAACGCCCCGAAATGGCGAGTGAAAAAAGACGTGAATTTCGAGTGGATTTGTGTTTAGTTGTCATTCCTGGCCCAAAAGATCCGCCTGAAACTTTCGCCTCGAAGTCCAGAACGAGATTTTGCAGGACACTCTCGGCCCATCCTGTCGTTCTCCGAACAAAATCCGCTCTGCGATGTTGGCGCCATGACACCTCCAGCTGCTCCTGAGTATCCTTTAACCGATCCCCATCCCCACCAGCGTGGGCTGGGCCCCACTGGCCGATTTACCCCACTAGATGGGGATATAGGCTGCATTCTTTGGGTTTCGAGGCGTGTATCTCCAACTGAGGGTCTAATTTGGTGGGGGTCTAGACGGGGATGGAAATGGGGATGGAAATGGGGATCGGTTAAACGATACCGACGCGGGCGGCCGAATTGCGCTTGTGAACTTCTGGGGGTGAGCGCACGCGAACCCCAACCGTCCACCTCAACACAAATGGGAGGCGGCGGAACGGCTCAAGTCTCCAGATAGATAACCCTGGACAAAGCTGGCAGGAACTCATGGAGGAGGAACCGGGCAAAGTTGTGCACGGCGCCGAGGTTTCCCACGTCCGACCTGTGCGCATCACGGCGGTCCTCCTCGCCCATCATGACCCTCCTCGCAATGGCCGCTGCACTTCCCGAGGCTGCCAGTCCCAGCTGCCGCCACACGCGCTCCGCGTTCAGGGCGTGGAGCAAGAGCCGGGCTCCACTGCTAAGGGCGAAGACGTCTGGGGCGGATGCGTCCGCGGCGGCGGCGCTGGCGGGAAGCCTCTGAACGGCGGCGCCGAAGGAGCAGGCCACGGCCCCGGCAACGAAGGCCAGCTGATGGGGGAGCACGAACGCGTGGAAGCACAGGCGCGAAGCATTCGGCCCGGCGGCCTTGGACGCGCTGTTCAGGACCACAACGAGCCCGTCTGTCTGCATGATGTCCGCGGACAGAGCGACGTGCACCAGCGTGGATTGCCCACCGAAGCTCTGCGGTTCAAAAATCGGATCCTGAGGAATGGGGTCCTAATGAGCCGCCACCGCGACCTTCGGCACGGAATGGGCGTGCCCTCAGGTCCTTTGCCTCATCCTCTGAGCCTCAATCCCCACTCCTGGGCCCGGACCACGCATTCTCAAATATCCCGGGGCTTGGCGCGGCTTGCCAGGGATCTGGCGCATCTTCTCGCGTGACTCTCTGGCCCCCAAGAAGGGCCCCAAGACGGGCCAAGAGGGCCCTCAAGAGGCCCTCAAGACGGCCGAAGACGGATCCGATACGCCCAAATATCGCCCCAAGACCCCCAAGATAGCCCAAAGACGGCCCAAAATGGAGAAATCTTTGATGTCCCTTGGGTTTCTGACGGGTTTGGGCCTTCTCGCCTTTTCGGCTTCCCGACGCTCCAAGACGGCTCAAGAGGCCCCCAAGATCGCCCCAAAACGGCCCCAGATGCCCCCAAGAGGGCTCAGACGGCCCAAAAGGGCCAGAAGACGGCCCGAGAGGCGATCAAGACACGACCCAGGGGGGCCCAAAGACAGCTCCAAGAGGAGGGGTCCCAGATGGGGAGCCCGAGTGGACACTTCGAGCCCTGGGCCCCGAGGAGCCCCCACGAGGCCCCCAAGAGGCCCCCCAAAGGCCCCAAGAAACTCTTGAGACACGGCCCCCAAAGCCCACGAGAGCGCTCCACCCCCCCCCCAGGCTTCGGGGAGAAAGGGCAACCCTTGCAAAATGACCCTGGGCGTAAACCACTCAAGCCGTTGTCGTGTTGTTGTGTAAGTTTGTTTCTCTCTCTCTCTCTCTCTCTTTCTCTCTTTTTCTATATGTCTCTCCTGTTGTTTGTGTATATCTTTTTTTCTCTCTCTCTCTCTCTCTCTCGCCGGTCGCCTTCATCCTCGCTCCGTCTCTATCTGCATGTTCCTACTCTGTTTTCGTCGTCCTGGTTGTCCGAATCAGAATTTCTTCGGAGAACGGAACAAATGAAACACGAACAAGAAACGACATAAGCAACAAACCAAAAACAATGTTGTGGAAACGTACAAACTGCGAAGAAGACCCTTCGCGACGGATTGTTTGTTTTGGGCCGTCTGTGTTTCATTATGTTGTTTGGGTGTACGATTGTTTTGTTTTCGGTGTGCTTCCAATGGTGATATATGGTCCTGCTTCAACAGGAGATCCTTATGAGGAGGAAGGGGAGGGGGAGGAGAAGGATGAAGAGGAGGATCGTCAAATCTGTCTCTTAGGACGCGGGTAAAAAATGACCATGCTCGTGCCCTCTGCAGGATCCAAATGGGCCTGGGACAATGTCCCTCTTCAACTGGCAAACTACCTGATGGGTCTGATGCGCGCGCGCCTCTATCTTTCTCATCACAACTGGTTGTGTCGAAAGGGGTCCCTATTTGGGTGCCAAGAACATGGGTCGCACCACCTTGCCCCCCATTTCAACTGCTGCGCAACGTGGTGGGGCGTCGCGCGCGCCTCCCTGCTCATCACCTGCGTATATCCCGCAGAGAAGGGGCCTCAACTGCGCTTCGCCCGCGCGCGCAACCAGCAAAGCGCTCTCTCACAGGAAGCTTCGTGCCCACTCAACTTCCCATTGAGTCGCCCCCCTCGCGCAACGCATCGCGACTCCACTCCTGAGGCCTCCCACCCCGCTACTGCGAAGTACCGAGCAATGGTGCGCGACCAAAATTAAACTGGCCTCCTGGGCCCTGAAGATCTAGGAAAACATCCGCCCAAGAAGCCTCCGAGAGACCTAAGACCCCTGCCCTCGCCCCTCGGCTGCGCGGAGTCCGCGCGTCAGCGGCGCTAACCTGGATTCGGGGTCGGTCGGTGGCGGGGCCTGAGCCCTTGCAAGAGGCCATCCTAGCAAATTGCACGCGATGGGGCATTGGCGGGAGGCAGGAACTGATATCGCTTGGATTGCGCGGCTGCTGCTCGGATGCAAATTGCGGCCCGTCACCCTGCGACAAGTCCTGAGATATGCCACCTCTGCAGAGCGTCAATGGAGCCAGTCTGGCACGCCTCGCCACCTGGGGCGCGTGGCCGGGACCGCGGGGGCACCCTCGGCTGCTTCTCCCCTTGCGCACTCACTGAAGGGCCCAAGTGTATGCGCCGCCACCAGGCGGCAACAAGACAGGAACAAATCCTGCGCGTGACCGCCCGGGGCGCCACTGCCTGCCCCCGTCGAGCGCGAGTTCTTGCCGCGCGGTCATGCGCGCAGATGGCTGCCGCATTCGATCGCGAACAATTGCTCCCAAACACCTCATGGCAGCACGGTGGCGGCGCGCATGAACGATGGGCCCCGCACAAATGTTATACACCACCCAGAAATGTACACCACGTGAATGCGTCGTTTTTCGCGCATCAAAACGAGCGCCCAAATGACGCTGCACACGCGACGTGTCATTGTTACGAGATCTGACGCACACTGCAAGGCGCCGCCCTAACAATAATCTGATCAACCCCCACGACAGAAAACCAGCCCGCGGCGGCGATGCATGCGCGCGGGCCCCTGACTCGATGTGGGAACCTGGTAGGTAAAGGGCAGGCCCTCGGGCAATTCTGAGCAATCAGCAAAAATTAGCTAAGAGCTGTAAGCTAGAAAAAACCACGCTGGCGCGCATGCAAATGCAACTATCGCCCAAAAGGCCGCCCCGCGACTGCGATGCAACTGGCCCCCGGGTCGCCCCGCGACTGCGAGGCGCAAGCATCGGCTATAAGCTACTGCGTCGCCCGCGAAGCGTCGCCCGCGGGGCTGCCCCGCGACTGCGAAGCACAATTTGCCACTGGCCCCTGGGTCGCCCCACGACTGCAGCGCGCGAGTATCGGCCATTGGCCGTCACATGGCCGGAGCGCCGCTAACCTGCCACCTAACAGGCCGCCCCACGACTGCGAGGCGCAAGTTGCAACGGGCCCCGGGCCGCCCCGTCAATCGCAAGATCCAACCCGCCGGGCCGCGCGCCGCATAGGTCTTCGTCGCGGGCGCTGGCGAGGGCAAGGTGCAAATTTTCAAAGACGTTGACCTGGGGGAACCATTGCTGGAGATGGCCAATTGCAAGCCCATGCGTCATGGCACAGGCGCGCGCGACGGTTCCCAGCACAGGGCAGGCCGCGTTGCTGTGGTCTGCTATATCCTGGGGAAACTCGGCGGCTTGCAGACTCTCTTTCCGCGCTGACAACAAAGGCGATGCCCGCCAAGCGTCCGGCCGATTGGGATAAGAAGCCCGAAGGGCACCGCCGCGTCGAAAAAAATGGCCCGGAGGGCAGCGACCACAACGAATCCGCGGAGTTCGCGGGCATGGGCAGCTGGGCGGGGGGGCGCGGCGCAGCCTGGTGAACCGGATTGGTCCCTTTCCCCCCGCCGACCCCCGCCACGGTCGAACGGACTTTCGGACCGCCGAGCGTTCCGGGGCGAGCCGGGCGGCGCCGCTGTTCCCGCGCGCCCGGGAAATCAACGGCCCGCAATCGACAGTCTACCTACGGTTGCGGAACCATGCGAGCGGGCGCATCAACGCCGAGCGCCTCGCCGCCTGGGCGCTCGCGCCGACGGGCTCCGAGCCGCGATTCATCGACGAAGTGTTCGCGGAGATCTCACCGGCGCTTCGCCTCGGCAGCGCGCGCTGGGTCGGCGAGGACAGGGCGGGGAAGCCGACGGCGCCGAAAACCCTTGCGTTCTCGATGCCCATGCTCGAGAACGGCGCCCCTGAGGGCGACGCTGGGAAGGGCGCGCCCGAGCCCCCCACTGTCGCCGCCAAGCGCATCGTTTTCATCGGGGGCGAGCCCGCGGAGAGGGCGCCGCCGACGACGGCGGCCCGCGCGAGCGCGGCGTGCTCGCGCTGAAGGCATTCCCCAATTCGAGCGAGGGGGGCTCCACCCAGCGCGCGAGGCGGGGGGCCATCGCGCTCGCCCCAGGGGCGCCCCGCCAAGCCGAAAACAACAGCTGCGATCGTGCCTCGGAGGAAGGGCTGGAGGCAAAGTGGCGCCAAGGGCAAGCTGCGGAGATCCAACTCAAGCGGCGCCTGAATCTCATCGCGCCCTCCCCGAGGCAGATCCCCGAGGAAAAGGGCACGGGGGTCCTGCTCGCGAAGGCCCGCGTCGTCGTGACCACGGACGCACGCGCGCGCTTCCGCTTGGCGTCCGACAACTTCCCGGAAGACGGAGCCGCGCACTTCTACTCGTACTGCAAGAAACCAAAGCCTGCCCTCTTCAATCGCACGCCCGAGACGCGCGCGCGCTTCGGCGGGCGCGAGGACGACCCGACTTCGCCGAACAACGACTCGCCCAACTTCATGGAGAATGCGGGGTGGTCCTTTGATTTCGCGAATCGCGTAGATCGCTCGCGGGGCCTCGCTCTTCAGGCAGCCCGTGCGAAACGCCCGGCCACAGGCCTGCCCCCGCCAGTGGGCGGCCCAAGCAGCGGCGCCGCTTCCTCGAGCGGCCTGGCAAGGCCATCTGCGGCCGCCGCCACGGGGCGCGCCGGCGAGTTGAGCCGCGCGGGCTCGGCCGAGCAGCGCGCGATCTACGGCGCGATGTAACGGCAGTTGTTCGCGGGCGGCGAGGAGGACAGCGGCGTGCTGGTGGACCTGGAGCCGCCTCCTCGCAAGCGCCTGGCGGCGGGTGCCAGGGCCCTAATCAGGCCGCGATCTACGAGCAGATGCACCAGGCGTTCTTCAACCAGAACCACCCGGCGCGCAGGTTGACCTCACCACGCTTCCCCGCCAGCGCCATAACGCGGACGGCGGGGGCGATTTCGACGCGGTGGCCGAGCTCGATCGCCACCTCGCCATGGCAAAAAAAAGCCCCCCTCGTCGACGTCGCCCCCCCCTCCACTTTCGCGCGTCGCCCAGTCGCTAGCATTCGCCGCTCGCTTCGCAATCGCGGGCGGGGCCGCCGCGGCCTGCGCCGCGCATGCGCCGCAATTGTTATAGTTCGATGCGTTCCCGCGCACGGAGCGAGGCGCCCGCTGCCAGTGGCCCGCCTGCGCGCCCGCGGGGGCGATCGGAATGGCAAAGTACGAGAACTCGCAGGACACCGCGCCTCGCCGCAGGATCTTGACCTCGACTGCAGAGACGGCCACTTGCGGAACGCGCGAAGGTCCACAACGCGGGCGACATGGCCAACAACTCGTCGCTGATAGCTCTCACCTTCGCGCAGGACGTGGGCTTCCCCCCCGCGTCGTACGAGCGCCCCGGATGCGGTGGCGACAACTACACGCCCGTTCACCGCCAAAACAAGAGCCCTTGGGCGCGGCGCTGTTCCGATTGCGATTCCGGGCGCTCGTCGCGCAAGCAGCAGAACCGGAGATCCATGACTGGCGGCTAGATTCTGCAGGGTGCCCACGGGTCGTCGCGGGAAAAGCTCTTCGTCGTTGCGGCCACGTGGGTCACGCATTACCCCCGCCAACGGAGGCAGCATAGGTCGGGAGCGACGTGCCAGACGCTTGATCGCTGGGTGTCGCACTTCCAAGGCAAACAGGTTCAGGCGCTCCACAGCATAATGTCTAAATCTGGGTTCTGGCCGAAAACGAACAAGAAGCCGAAGGGCGAGCCGGCGGCAAAGACCCGCGGCAAGATCTCGCCCGCCATGAAGGGCAGTATTGCTGCGAAGGCGGTGGCGCAAAGAAAGAAGGCTGGCGTCGCGCTGGCCGAGGAGGCCGACGTCTCCAAATACAAGATCGATCCTCTACAAAAAGAAACGTGCACGGCGCGAACCTCTACAAAAAGAAACCTTGCGCTCTCCTGAAAGCAGCTTGCCCGCAAAAGCACCGGGTCTGGGTCTGGGGCGCAACGGTGCAGGGACGCGCCGACATCTGGTCTTTCCGCATTCTGGACCACCTGGACGACGCCTTCGATGGGAAGCCCTGCGGGCACAAGGAAACGTTGACCTATCTCCACCTGATCGGCATGCGCGAAACGGACCATCCTGGTGAGCGATTCCTGGAAGGCCACGGTGCCCGCGTTCAAAGCGCTCATGAAGAGCGAGGGGTGGACTGCGAGGGACATCAAGCAGAAGCTGGCGGCGAACTCCGCGGGCGAGATCAAGCACACCCGCGGTTTCGCCACCAACGGGATTGAGTCCATGCGGTCGGTGGTGAAGCGTTGAGTCCGCCGCAGGCTCGGCGGGCGGATGCCGAACCACTCCGATCGGCAAAGTGGCGCGACCTGCTCGCCGAACTGCAATGACGTAGGCTGGCGGCCACCCAGACGCTCGACTACGGCTACACCTTCTTCGTCCCATTCCGCTCCTCGCCCGCACGTGCGTGCCAGAGCCGCTGTAACCTTGCCAGGGGAATTGCTCCGACGCTGTCGCGCCAGTGGTTTACTGTATGGCATAACGCTCGCGAGGCGTGAGATCGCCAAGGAAAAAAACAAAAACAGCCATCATCTTCATGTTTGACCGCTTGCCATTTTGCAGGGGTGTCCTTTCACCCCCGAACCCCCCAAGAAACATCTCTGAAAACCCTGACCCACAACCCAAGCACGATGGCGGGATGGGCCGAAGGCCATTACACTTAACCCGTATAATAAGGACGCCCGATAAGGACGCAAGGGCCTTGGGATGCCATTTCGAGGCTTTTCGAGGGGGGCGCGGCATGCGGTTGTGGCCAAGGATGGGCCGAAGTGGCAAGGATGTAAGGATGCAAGGGTACCCTTGGGAAGGCCGCTCAGCCTCATTGTGCGGGTTGACTGCAGATAGGAACGGGATCCCAAGCTGAAACTTCACTGTTGGTAGCCATTCGCTCTCGGGGCCCCATCCCTCAAGGCCCCATCTTCGAACCGCCGAGAAGCACGAGGGGGCAGACTCGCCGCGGGGATCTGCGCCAGCCGGCTTGCGGGACGCAGTGCTGTCGGGCCCGTCGAGCTTGAGCGCCGCCGTCGGCTCCCCGAGCCTCCTCTCGGGAGCGTCCAAGAGGGGGGCGTCCAAGAGGGAGGGGGCGCAAATCGCCCGGCGGCATGTGCGCGAACCAGGGGGGGGGGCCAGGGGACGTAATGAAATGAGAAGAGGCGCCATGAGATCTGGGGAGATATCATGGCCCCCGCCATGATATCCACCCCCCCTAGTCATCACCCCCCTCTTGGCCGCCCCCGATCGTCTTCGATTGAACAAACGCCCACCCAGGGCTGGGCGTTCAGGCAGAGGCAGAGGGGGATGAGGGAGGATGGGAGGCCAGAGGGGCAGAGGGGGAGGAGGAGGGATAGGGCACGGAGGTGGGGGGGGGGGGCGGTGGAGGCACGAGGATAGGAAGGATAGGGGCAGGGAGGAGGGACGACAAAGGGATGAGAGCAGGACGGGGGAGAGAGGACGGAGGAGGGAGGAGAAGAGGCCGGGAGAGCAAGCTGTCACCCCCCTCTTGGCCCACACCCGAGGGCCTCCTCGAGAGGTGCTCCCACTTCAGGCCCACGGCGGCCGGGACCACGGGCACGGGCACGTACGGTGCGGAGCCCTCCGCCGGCGGCGCGGCCTGCAGGGCCTGCAGGGGCAGGCGGCGCTGCTCCAGGCTGCCGAGCACCTGCCAGAAGGGCCACAGGGACTCCATCAGGTGGTACACCTGGAGGAGGAGGAGGAGGAGGAGGAGGAGGAGGAGGAGGAGGAGGAGGAGGAGGAGGACGAGGACGAGGACGAGGACGAGGACGAGGCTCGAGGAGGAGGAGGAGGAGGAGGAGGACGACGAGGACGAGGAGGAAAGGGAGGAGGAGGAGGAAGAGGAGGAGAAGACGGCAGAAGCATGAAAGCTCGGAGGCCCACGCGGCTTTCTCGGATCGGCGCTGGATCCCCCCCCGCCCCCTTGCGCGCAGAGAGCGCGCCAGTGGCGGCACCGGAGGCGCCGCCAGGGGGCCCCAGCGCCGATGCGAGGAATCCGCGCGGACCTACGAGTTCCTATGTTCGTGTCGTTGATCGGTCGCGTAGCACCGTGGTGTTCGCCTCGCACCCGTCCAGGTTGTGCTCGCCGAGGGACATCAGCTCGCGCGTCGCGTTCCAGGCGCTCTGCGACGGGCCGTCCTGCGCCCCGAGCAGGCCGTCCACGACGGCGAAGTACGCGGTGGCGCGGCCCCACGAGCAGCGCCTGTGGGACGACTCGGCCAGGTACTCGAGAGGCGCGTGCTGCGGCAGGGAGAGCGCGCCGCTCACAGAAGAGCGAAACAGCTGCACAAGCTCGGGGTCGTCCAAGAGGGGGGCGTCCAAGAGGGAGGGGGCGTAAATCATGGCCAGCGGCATGTGCGCGGCCCAGGGGGGGGGGGGGGCAGGGACGTAATGAAATGAGAAGAGGCGACGGGAAATCTGGGGAGATGTCATGGCCCCCGCCAGGATGTTGTGGCGTCCCGAAACAGTGCGGTGACAGACCGTACGTGACCTCGAAATCCTCCAAGACCTCACCGCACGGTCCGTCACCGCACGGTCTTGGGACCCCGGAGGCCCCAGTCCCCCGAGACGTCCTCGGAGAACGACCCGCATCCCCACCGACTCACCGCACGGTGTGGTCACCACCCCGTCTGGGGGCCCCCATGATGTGCACTCCCCCCTTTTGGACGCCCGAGATGGGCACGGAAAGAATGGGCACGATGCCCAACAACAAATGTTGTCCCAAACCAACAGCGGCCGCTGTTGGGCAGGCGGCCCTCTGTCTCGAGTGGACACAGGCCGCGGCGGCGCGGACAGCGAGTCCTCTTCACAATGAACAGGATCCGCTGTTGGGCATCGTGCCCATTCTTGCCGTGCCCATTGCGGGCGTCCAGATCGGGCGTTGGCAGAACTGGGTTTAGTGGAACCTGGTTTAATGACTTGTACGGGGGGCGCCCCCCAGTCCCATTTCCACTAACCAGAACTGCCGTCACCCGAAAAATACCAGTTATACGGCAAACCTGGTTTCGTGAATCATCTGGCCCATTGAAAGGCCCCAGGGCCCTACCACTAACCGGGTCACCTTACCCCGGGTCCTGGCTTCACCCGACCAGACCCCGGTCATCCACCCCCTCCCGGCCGCTCCCGGCAAGCGTGAGCGTTCAGGGCTGCGCGCGGACTCTCCGGGCCGGCGCTGGACTCTCCCACAGGGCGCGTGCCCGGCACCGCCGCCGACGCTCTCCGCGCGTCCAGGGAGGGGGGGTCCAGCGCCGGCCGCAGAGCTCCGCGAGGACCTTCGCATGTTTGTGTGCATGCACTCGCCATCGCTCGGAGGTCCATTTCCCGTGCATGTTTCGGTTTCGTGCGTGTTTTTTTTTGCTCGATGGTCCAGGATCGTCCTCAATGGTTCTCGCCGAGAAAAAATGCACCCGTCCGAGCGATGCCAGGTGCAACGTTTAGGTCGGGCCTGTCCCCCATACAGGGGGACTCTGGGCAAAAAGTTCCAAAAAACCCGAACAATACCCCCCAAATGCTAGGAAATAGTCAAAACAAAATAGTCCCCAGACTATTTTTGGACTATTTTTGAACATTCTTCCTGTAGAGGGACAGGCCCGACTGAATGCAATATGTGAGCGTTTCATATTCGGCGTTTCGACATGGGGGGAAGGGGGAGGGGAGGGGGGGGTCTGGTTCCGGACCTCTGCTCATCGCGGCTGTTTGCAACAGGGCGTCCGAATCATGGGGGAGGCTCCACCTGCTGGAAACAGGCGCCCAAACAGCCAAGGTCCACTCCAGGGTGGGGGGGGAGGGGGTTTGGGGGTCCGCGCCGATCGGCAAAACAAGGAATAAAACAACGACCACGAGAACCTCCGAATGTTTATGTGCATGCAACGTTCGCTCTTCCAGCTGACCCATTTCGTCTCGGCAACGCCTTCCCAAAGTGCACGGAGGAACTTCCGGTCCTCCGCGGTTGGCCCGCCAGGAAAGTCGCAGCACTCGCGCGGGCCGAGGTCTATGCCCGTCATGCCCGTCGCCTCACCGCTCCGAAAGATGCCACTGCCAGGCTCGGTCGTGTCGCCGGCGACGACCTCACTGGCCGTGGCCAGGAGACCAAATATGGGCCAGCCTGAACGAAAGACGTCCCAGTACGACAGCGGGATGGCCTTCTGGAAGCTCACTCCCCCGAAGACCGAAGTCTGAATGTAGTGCCGCCTCTCGTCTGGGCCCATGAAGTTGTACGCGAAGAACCCCAGAGCAACGATGCCCAAATAACACTCGTTTGAGGACGGCGAGGCCGCGATCTCGAGCAACCGTTCGACGTCACCCACGGGGCGCTCCTCTGGTCTCAGGCGCAGGCTGCGGAGGAAGCGGTGCAAGGCCTCCTTGACCCACGGCCAGTCCACGCCGTCGCCACCTTTGCGCCCAGACTCGCACGTCAGGTCCGTGACCGCAGCCGACTTCACGCGCTCCTCACAGTGCGGGCACACCCACAGGTTGTACTTCTGCAGCTGCTGGGCCGAGCCCCTGGGAGGGCCTCCTCCGCTGTGCCAGAGGGCAGCGGAGACGAGAAACCGCCTCACGGCCACGTCTGCCCACATGCCGCATCCAGCAAACCTTCCCCTGGGGAACGGCTCGCTACGGACTTTCAGAGCGGCGCAGGCGCGAGCCGCCAAATCCCACCACCGTCTCGCCTGTCTGTCCTGCCCTGCCCGTGCCTCTTCCGCTCTTCCCTTTCCTCCCGATCCTACACCACCCTCCCCTCTTCCCATCCACCCACTCATCCTCCATCATTAGATCCTCCATCCGCTACCCCGCCTGTCTGGGCGAAGAAAGGATGTAAGCAAATTGGGGTCTCTCGTGGTTCTCGCTGGGGGGATGAGAAATGGCGTGTTCTCATTCGCTACCCAGCTGGTGTCTACCCACCTACAAGATGTGCGGCGGCCGCTGCCTTGTTTCGGGCCCAAAGTCGATCGAATGCGACGCCGTCCTCACGCTTGCATCGACAGCGACAATGCAGTCGTGCAAATCCCAATAGGCACTGCATCAAACGCCAAAACTGCGGGTAAGAAACTCTGCCAACTATGCCCCCTTCGCCTGCGATCCGTGGTTTCAGCTGGATCGGATCAACCGAAGAGGCACGGGTCACCCCTCTTTCCCCTTCTTGAGTCTACCCGCGCTCCATGATGGCCCAGGGTGGTGCCGCTGGGGACGCTCCACCAATTCTCCTCACCCCTGTAGGGGCTGTGACTAACTCCGGGACGCCGCTGAGGAGCTCTGTAGAATGAAGGGACTGATAGACGGAGCCTGACCTCGCTGTCATTTCCTGTGTTGGAGCAATCACGTCTCACAAGGGTGCGCCACCCGCTCGTATACCCAAAAGCTTGGTCGGTGACCCTTCTCCTCTTCCTCCTCCCTCCACCCTCCTGCCTCCACCTGCTTCTTCTACTCCAGATCGCTTGCACTCCTCTGCTGCGGAGAATCGGGAAATGGATGAAGAGTAGGAGGAGGGAAAGGGAGGGGGGAAGGAATGGCGGAAAACGGGACACTAAGAAAACAGGCACGGAAACGAGCAGGGATTACGACGAAGATAATGAAAAAAAACTACGAGGTGGGGTAGGAAAAGGGAAACGGAAAACGAGGATGAGGGAGTATAAAAGATGATGGTTTAAAATCATCTGGATGATGAGAATAAGGGGGGAGGACGGAGAAGATGGGAGAGGCAGAGGAAGAGGACAAGCAGCAATAAGTGGGCATGGGCAGGAGATGGGGTAGGCGGAGGCACAACGATGAGGAGTGAGAAGTGGAGCTTCTCGTCTCCTTCCTCCTCCTCGTCCTCCTCCTCCTCCCCCTCCCCGTCCAAATCAGCTCAGTGCTGCGGTCTGTGCCAGGAATTCCAAGCCCTGTAGCCAAGACGGCTACGGATGCAGAACATACACTGTCGCCATGCTTCCTTTACAAAAACTGGCATTCGATCCTCCTCCACCAAAGGATATCGCAATCTCACCAAACATTATCCCACAAAACCCCCGCGGGGGCTCTCCAGGAACAATGCTGGGAGCACGTTATGGCCTTCCAGCGTTCCCACTGCGCCTCGATCATCGACCCAATTGAAGGTTGCCGGATACCTCCAGCCCCGCCCCCTCACCCATGGAAGAACAATATTTGCCAGCCTGGACGCCAAGCAATTCGCCAGCCCAACGGGCCAGAGGCGTGCTAAGATCTCCGGTAACTGGTTAACAATATGTATAATTTGCGCGCGGGGCGGCCCCTGGGGCCCCCGGACAAAAAATACCCCGACTGGGTCCCGGTCCACTCCCGAGCCACTCCCGGGCGATCCCCCCAAAACGCCCCAGGGGAGGGGCATTTTTCGACGCCCCTTACACGGATCGTGGCCTCCGAGGGGGGAGCCGCAATCGACTACCTCCCCCTCCCGCCCCAAGAGGCCCTCAAGAGCCCCCCGAGAGGCTCCAGGGGCCTCCAAGACGCCGACAAGGAGCCCCAAGAGCCCCCAAGAGGCCCCCAAGGGGCCCCAAAGAGCGCTCCAGGGCCGGCGGAATGAGCGAAGCGATTAATAAGTCTTTGCGCTAACGATGTGCAAGCTGTATCAGGCAAGCTATGCGGAAGGAGCTATGCGGTACAGTCTATGTGGTGCAAGCTGTGCGGAGTAAGCTGCACTGTGCAAGCAATGTGCTGCACGCTACGTGGTATAAGCGATGCGGCGCAAGCTATGTGGTGTAAGCTACGTGGTGCAAGCTACATGGTGCTAGCAGTGTGGTGTCGGCTATGCGGTCCAACACATGTGGTGTAGGCTACGTGGTGTTGCAGGCTGCGAGGTGTAGGGAACGCACGTGGTGTGAGCTGTGCGGTCACTTCTACGTGGCAGAGCCTATGTGGGATGGGATGTGTGGCGCAATCTTCGCGGCCGCCCAGCGCGTGGAGCGCCCACGAAGCTGGCTTTACCTGTCGGTCGCGGCGCTGAGCTACACCGCCTGCGGAGGAGGAGGAGGAGGAGGAGGAGGAGGAGGAGGGGGAAGAGGAGGAGGAGGAGGAGGAGGAGGAGAGGGGAGGAGGAGGAGGAGGAAGAGGAGGAGGAGGAGGAGGAGGAGGAGGAGGAGGAGGAGGAGGGAGGAGGAGGAGGAGGAGGAGGAGGAGGAGGAGGAGGAGGAGGAGGAGGAGGAGGCGGTGGAGAGAGAGGAGGAGGAGGGCTGGCGTCGCAGCGACTCGCTTCCTGCAGGGCGGGCCAGGCGCGCAAAATGCCCTGGCGAGAGCCCACCCGCTCCTGGAGGCGGAGGCGCTCCAGGGGCGCCCCTCCGGGCGGGCACCAGGCGAAACCTCGGCCCACACAGAAGTCTGTTTGGCGTCGGCGGCTAGGCTTCGGTCGGGCATGTCCCCATGCAGGCGGATTTTGAACGGCAAATTTGAAAAATAAAAATGCTCCACAATGGTCAAACAAACATACTCAGAACATCGCTCCCATGGCGCTCCAGAGGCGCCCCTCCAGGCGGGCACCAGGCGAAACCTCGGCCCACACAAAAGTCTTTTTGGCGTCGGCGGCTAGGCTTCGGTCGGGCATGTCACCCATGCAGGCAGATTTTGAACGGCAAATTCTTAAAACATAAAAGTGCTCCACAATGGTCAAGCAAAGAATGAAAATCGCTCCCTGGGTGTATTGTCGGAGGTGAGGGGGTGAGATCGAAGTGGAACGGAGAGCCCCCCTACTGGGAAATCGATTTCGGTTTCGTGTTCGTGCGTGCCGTGCGTGCGGGCGAGGCGAAGCTGCGTGGGCGGGCGAGAGGAAAGTCTCCTGTGGCTGAGGCGCGGCCGGACCAAATGATTCTCCACCGGGCGGCCGGTGGCGCGCGGTGTCCCGCCGGTGTCCCGGTGGTGTCCTCTGTGGCTGAGGCGCGGCCGGACCAAATGATTCTCCACCGGGCGGCCGGTGGCGCGCGGTGTCCCGCCGGTGTCCCGCCGGTGTCCCGTCGGTGTCCCGACGGTGTCCCGATGATGATGATGTTGATGATGATGATGGTGCTGATGATGATGATGTGATGATGATATCGATAGAGAGACCCAATGTGATATCGATAGTGAGACCGAATGTGAGATCGATTGTGAGATCGATTGTGAGATCGATTGTGATATCGATAGTGAGACCGAAAGTGATATTGATTGTGAGATCGATTGTGAAATCGATAGTGAGATCGATTGTGAGACCGATTGTGATATCGATAATGAGATCGATAGTGAAACCGAATGTGAGATCGATAGTGAGATCGATAGTGAGATCGATAGTGCGATCGATAGTGAGACCGAATGTGTGATCGATGGTGAGATCGATAGTGATATCGATAGTGAGATCGATAGTGAGACCGAATGTGAGATCGATAGTGACATCGATAGTGAGACCGATTGTGAGATCGATTGTGAGATCGATTGTGATATCGATAATGAGATCGATAGTGAGACCGAATGTGAGATCGATAGGGAAATCGATAGTGAGACCGAATGGGAGATCGATAGTGAGATCGATAGTGAGACCGAATGTGAGATCGATACTGAGATCGATAGTGATATCGAGAGTGAGATCGATCGAGTGCGACGTTGGTCCCTCCCCCCCCCTCACCTCCTTATCACCCGAAGGGTGGTCGTATAGGTAGTAACTATTTTTGAGTATTCTTCCTGTAGAGGGACAGGCCCGACTTAAGGCCAGGCAGAGGGTGGCTGCGCTGGTGACGAATGGAATGAGCGGGGGTACCGTTGGGCCGAAGTGTGCCACCACGCAGGAGGAGGAGGGAGGATTGAACAAGGACCGACCGTCCCGGCATTCTTTTGGGCCTACCACGAAATGTTCTTTGAACCCACATATGTTATGATATAACAGAACCCGATGTGTAGAAAAAGCAAAACAGTCCCAGCCAGAAACGTTCTAATAACATGTCGTGGAAACCACAACAGGTTCTTAGAACATTGTTTGGTGGGCCCATAGGCACGCCAGAACGCTTCGCCACTAATTGCGAAGAGGGGTGCGGCCGCAAGACAAGCAGGACATGGCGGGCGGCCCAAAGGTCAGAACGCTCCTCGAGCGTGTGGCGAAACCTCGGCCCACACACACACACAGACACACACACACACACTTTTTCGTCAGCGGCGCGGCGGCGAACTCCGCTCCACCGAGAAGCTAGAGAAGGGGCATTGACTTGCAAATTGGCCGGCGGGCAAAGAGGGGGGGGGGACGGCCGAGAGAAAAAGGGTCGCTCAGCCGTCGAAGAGTGCAGCGCCCACGGGCGGGCACTGAGCGAAACCTCGGCACGCCCGCTCAGCACGGGACGCCTGCAGGCGGACCGGGCCAGAGTGGCACCTCTCAAAAAAATGAGACGCTCCGCTGGCCAAACCAACCCAAGCCATCAGATCATTCGAAGGTGCCCTCCCCCAGGGGGCACAATAACATCTGCAGCAGGCACGGGGAACACTGAAGCACCCTCCCCGAACCGGCCTCGATCTGATACCTCGGTCCGACGGTACGAGTCGCCCACGGGCGCCTACCAACAGGGCGCCAGGCGAAACCTCGGCACTTCCATCCCGCGAAACCTGAACAAACCCTCCCCAAAAGTGCAAGAACTGCTCCGGGAGAAACCTGCAAAACATAAGTTTTCGGAGGTGCGTGCAGATTTCTCTGGTCGGCGCCAGGCCCCCCCTCCCCCCCCCCCCCTCCTTTTGCTGACACGCGGCGGCGCCAGGTGTGGCGGAGAGGGCGTCCCGGCCCCAGCTCCGACCCAAAAAATCCGCGCGGACCTCTGAGAACTTGTAGTCATGAAGGTGTTGTGCTCGTTCCCTATGTCCAAACTTCTAGAAACCAGGACTAAACAAAAACAATAACTTGACGGGAAAGATACCTCCCCAAAAAAAGAGAAACAACAACAAATAGTCGCGGCGCTGTAGTGCGCATGTAGAAAACAAAACGAAGGCGGGGAAAACGTCCCCGCGACCGCCTTGGCACGCCGCGTCTACGGGCAGATTCCTGACTTGGGTTTCGCGCGGGGGGCAGGTCTTCAGAGACCCCCCGCGTCAACGACGATCGGCGCCGACACTCGCCGCGTCAACGACGATCGACGCCAACCCTTGGCACCGACGCTCGGCACCGACACTCGGCGCCGACGCTCGGCAGTCACACTCGGCGCCGACATTCAGCGCCGACACTCGGCGCGCGCACCCACCATGAATGCACTCTCAGACCCATCGCCTCGCCAGAATGCACTCGCCAGAGCGCAGCCTGAGTGCATCTGGGCATCCAAAGGGGATGCCCAGAGTGCAGTGACCCACGCATGGCGATTTTCCGATGGCGAACAACACATCAACCGCCACACGCGCCCGTCGGCACATTCTAGGCTGCACCGATAAACGAAAACCTACAGACCGCATTCCAACTCGGAAACCCAATCGGTAACCGCTTGAAAAGGTTCGCTTCAGTTCGCAGGCCAGCACGGCGACATTCCTATCGCGGACAAAACAGAGACAACCACGCGAACGCGCGCGTCGGCGCATTGTAGGCTGCACCAATGGACGACACCATTGACAACGCACGTTACGGTGGAAGTCCCATCGGCGACCGCTGAGGGTTCACTTCTAATCCCCAGACCAGCATGGCGATTTTCCTATTGCGGGCAACGCAGAGACCGGCCACGCGCGCGTGCCCGCGCATTGCAGGCTGCACCAATAGACGGAAACGTAAAGACCGCATGTTAAGCTTGAAACAAGCAGCAGACGCTAAGAATTCACGTAAGCGCCCAGGCCAGCATGGTGACTTTCCTATTGTTGACAATGCAGAAACCGCCACGCGCGCGTGTCGGCGCATTGTAGGCTGCACTAATAGACGGAGGCGTAAAGACCGCGTGTGGCGTTGGGAAACAAGCGCGTTAGTTCCAAGGCCAGCAAGGCGACCTTCCTACTGCGGACAAAACAGTAACGGCCACGGGAACGCGCGTGTCGGCGCATAGTATGCTGTGCAAGTGGACGAAAACAAAACGTAAGACCGCATGTTGAATTGGAAATCCAATCGGCAACGGCTGCGAGATCACGCCGCACGCGCGCGCGGGCGCGTCGGCGGATTGCGGGCTGCACCGGCAAACGAAAACGTAAAGACCGCATGTCAAATTGGAACAAATTCTCAAACGCTGCGATTTCACTTGAGTTCGCAGGCCAGCATGGCGACTTTCCGATGGAGGGCCGCCGCGCGCGCGGCGGCCCGCGCGCATCTTGCACGGGGGAACAGAACGCGCGAGGGCCATGGGCCGCCGCGCACGCGGTGGCCCACGCGAATCTTGCATAGAAACATAAATATATATATATATGTTGACTCGTATAATGCCCCCACCAGGGAGGCCGCCTCGGAGAGATCGACAGGGCGAGAGGGGGGAAGGTCGGGCCACGGCCCGTCGCCCTTGGACGATGTATTTTCCACTCTCCAGGCGACCACGTCGCTGGCGACTTGTGTGAGAGAGAGGCTAGCCACTCCGAGGGCCCGACGGCGTCTGAAGTCCAGCAGCGCCGGGGCCGAAAAGGCGTCGGCCAACCAAGTCCTGCAGCTCATTAACAGAACATTAACAGTACCTATATGCAAAGGGTGGCTCGCGGGCGGGGAGCAAAGAGGGGCTGTAGAGAGTTCTGTTCAGCCGTATCCTGGTACGGCACACGGTGGGGGGGCCCGCTGGACAACACATAGCGCGCGAGCACGTACAATGTTGACTCGTATAATGCCCCCACCAGGGAGGCCGCCTCGGAGAGATCGACAGGGCGAGAGGGGGGAAGGTCGGGCCACGGCCCGTCGCCCTTGGACGATGTATTTTCCACTCTCCAGGCGACCACGTCGCTGGCGACTTGTGTGAGAGAGAGGCTAGCCACTCCGAGGGCCCGACGGCGTCTGAAGTCCAGCAGCGCCGGGGCCGAAAAGGCGTCGGCCAACCAAGTCCCATATCACAAAATGGAGAGCAGCTGGGGAGAAAATCCCATAACACTCCACTGGCCCACGGCCGCAAAATAACTACTCATGCCAGAAAAGAGAGTCCACGAGCCTCGGCTTTGCAGGCGGCGGCCCGGACAGCAGGCGGAAGCTTTGTTACAACAAACCAGGGCATGCAACAAACTGCTCCTGTCCCAAGACATGTGCGAAGAGCTAACTACTCATGCCAGAAAAGAGAGTCCACGAGCCTCGGCTTTGCAGGCGGCGGCCCGGACAGCAGGCGGAAGCTTGCGGATGGCCGCGAGGAGGCGGCCAGCCTTCTCATATCTCTGCACGCTGCGGAAAGAGGCCCAGCGCCCGCGCGCCTGGATCTCGGGCAGCGTCCTGGCACGGCGGAGGAAGTCCTCGCTGGGCCCGCCGTGCCTGGCGAGGTGAGGCGTGACTTTGAAAGGGATGCCTACGGCCTGAGCGGCCCTCTGCAGCACTTTATTGTACGAGGCATACGTGTGGCTAGGGAGCAGCGTCTGCGAGCGAGAACGGCGAGCCTGGCGGATGAGCGCGGCGAAGGCACCGATCACGCCAGGTCGGCTGGCCTCATCAAGGAGGACGGTGTCATCCTGCACGCCGGTCTTGCTGGTACGGATGCCGATGAGATGGCCGGCCACCTGGCTGGACGGCGCGACGACCATCCCGTACTTGTTGTAGTGAACCCCAGCGTGCATGCCCGGCGTGAAGCACGCGACCAGGGGCATGAGCACCAGCTCCGAGGGCCGCAGGTAGGTGTCGAACTGCACAACGAGGCCGCGGGCGGCCTCGAGGTCCGACTCGACGCCAGTCCGCGACAGGTGGTACGCCATCAGCACCGCGGCCGACCACGGGAGGGGATCCGAAGTCGAGTCAGGCTCCAGCTTGCCCCAGCCAGCCATGGCAGCGCGAGCGAGCGGGAGGACCCCAGGCTGGCGGAGGCTGACGTTGAAGTGGTCGGCGACAGCAGCCAGCGCATACCGAGCGTCGCCCCGCGACCGCTCGGCTACGAAGAGCTCCTCGAGGAAGCGGTCGAGGGCGGCGTCCACGGCAGGGAGGTCGCGGGCGGTCCAGCGCGCCGGGTCCAGGCCCATCTGCGCGGCGAACTCGTGCAGGCTGGCGTGGTACCGCTCGGCGGTCGTGGCGGTCACCCTCGAGCGCCGGAGGAAGCCAGGGTTGTAGTCAGCGGGCTCCCGCCGGGCGCGCGGCCGCCGCGCGGCACCGGCAGCGGCGGGGCGCCGGCGCACTGGCCCGCGGCCCTCGGCCGGAGCCTCCTCCAGCGGGGGGCCTCGGGGGCCCCCAGACGCCGCCCCACTGCTCGGCGTCCGACCTCCAGAGCGGGGCCCAGCGCGAGGGACAGGTCGGGCACGGGAGCGCCCGAGGACCGAAGTCGCAACCCGCTGCCCGGCAGAGGTCAGCCTGCCATCGTTCCTCGAGTAGTGGAGCACCATCTGGCCTCTTGGCGCCGCGCGGCGCTGCCGCTGCCAAGATGCTGGCAGCGAGGTGGCAGGCACCCGGGGGGTACGCGCCGGCCAACGTGGTCTTCCACTGATGCTTGAGCCCTCCCGTGGGCGCACGGACACGTACCTTCCCAGACAAGTGCTCGTGCCTGTGGCCCCCTTCGCAGAGCAGGCCGATGTCGTGCAGGGCCCCCAGACTTGAGACGATGGTGGTGGGCTTCTTGTAGGGCGCGCCGAACCGGCAGCAGTGATAGGTAGCCCAGGAACGCGAGTGCTGGTCCAAGAACTTCCGGAGTGGGGCCCAACGGAAGAGGCCCGAGGACTGGGGGTTCTCCAGAGACCAGTGAATCCCGTAGCGGCTGCAGACCTCCAAGAGACGCACCGTGACGTGAGCGCACCGACGGGCCGCCCTGATGGCGGAGACCTCGCGAGCCCCTCGCCGAGAGATGGACCACGGGGTGCACGGGGTGCCGAAGTGGACGAACCAGACGGCCCGGGAGGTGATCCAGGAACGCACCTGAGACTCGACCTTCGGGTTGAGGAGGTCGCACCAGGGCCCGTGCTTGATGTCCATGGGGGCCGCGACGACGAGGCCCGCCTGGGCCAGGGCACCAGTCCAGCGCCCGCAGCCCGAGAAGACCTCCAAGGCAGCCCGGGGTCGCGGAGCCCGCGCAGCGGTCGGCGTAGTGGAAGCAGACGTAGCAGGAGGCCGAGAGGACGGACTGTGATCTGACGTTTCATCCACTCGAATTGGCTGCATCCTGGGCCCACACCGGCCCCAGCGGCCGGCCGAGCCTCGACAGGGCGGCGGCCGGCGGCGGGTGGAGCCCGTGCCTGCGACAGCGTGGCCGCCACGCGGCCGCCTCGGCCAAGCCACCGAGGGGGCCGGGAGGCCCGGCGGGGGCGCGAGCCAGGCAGGTTTGCGCGGCCCCTGCCGGCCTCGCCGAAGGAGCACGTCACGCGGGGGGGCCGGCACGCGCCTGGGGTGCCTCGGCGGGCCGTCGCAGGGGAGCGGCCGAGGGGTGTGACGGCAGAGGTCTGAATCCTCCCCCCCTCGTCGGCACGCTGGGTCCCCCGCGACGGCGGGCGCCGCCAAGGCGGCGGCAGCCCGAGCCGGCCCCGCAGCGCCGGCATCCTGCCCCAGGGGCGGCGGCGGGGGCGGGGCCGCACCGGGCCGTCCCACAGCCCCCGCGGCGCCGGCGCCAGGCCCCACGCGACGCTGTCCAGGGCGGTACAGCCCCTGCAGGGCCTTGCGCGAGCCACCATCGCTGATGTTCCTCTCTGTGTCGAGGTATCGGCGCCGCCAGCGGATGCCGGTGGCCACCTGGATGGCAGCACTGCGCCTGCACACGGAGCCGAGGCCGACGTCGACGGCGCGGCCCTTCTCGGTCGAGAGCACCTCGGCCATGTTGTCCCCGAGGCTGAGGACGCGGCGCCCGTGGCACTCGAGGCTCCTGGAGGCGTGTCGGAGCCCCGCGAGGGCGATTCGGGCCTCCAGGATGTGGATGGGCGCCCGCGTCCTCCAGGCACCTTCCACGACCAGCGACCAGGCGTCAGGGGCGACGAGCTCGTCGGGGATGTCCTCGAAGGTCGCCCGCCGCGGGGCCTGTGCAACCCGAGCCCGCACGGTGCCGTGGGGGCGCTCGTCGGCCCTCCTCGGTGGCGGGGCCCAGGTCGCAATGCCGCAGCTGGGGTCCCCCTCACCGAGCACCCCTCCAGCGCCAGGAAGCCAGCCGGGCGTGTAGGTGTCGTCCTCCAGGGCCTCGGGCCGCTTCTCGTCGGGCGTGAAGCGCCAGCGCTCCCGAAGGCGCGCGAGTCGGCGCACCGCCTCGGGGTCGCAGCGCCGGCGGTGTAGGGCGTAGCCCGCCTCGGAGGAGTCGGAGCAGAGCACGATGTCCGACACGGGCGCGGCGAGGTCGACGACCGCCTGGAAGATGAGCCCTCGGAAGACACGGACCTCCTGCCGAGCGGGACCCGGCAGAGGCGAAGGCGGCCCGAGCCGGCACTCGTCCACGTACCTGTAGAGGTGGCGGAAGATGGACATGGCTGGCCGCAGGAGGAGACAGTGCTGGATGAAGTGCCCGAGGACGACCCGCACCTGCCACGCAGCACGGGGCACGCCCGGGCGCTCCAGCTCCAGGCAGGCGAGGTAGAGCCGCCAGGCCCGCTCGTCGGAGTGGCGAAGAGTCCGACGGAGGCCATCATACACCACGCCCACCATACCGAACTCGAGGGACGGCTCGCAGACCTCGTGGTACACGATGCCCCGGCGGTCGAGCTCCTCCATGACGCTGGCCAGGCCCGCCGCGGCATCGGCGGCGGAGAGACCCAGGATCCCCACGTTGTCGACGTAGACGGAGCCGGCGGGCCTGCCCGGGGCCGCCGGGCGCGGCGGCTGACGGTCCAGGACGAGGCTCGCAGGCCCGCCTGAGAGCGCGTGACCCACCCACGAAGTGACCGAGGAGTGCACGACCCAAAGAGCCCAGCTCCAGCCCATGGCGACGCCACGAAAGGCGGGGAACACCACCTCGTCGGCGCCGACGGGGATGAAGCGGCCGCCCTCCCAGACGTGCGTCGCCCCGTACACCGACGCGGGCTCGGGGTAGTCCATCCCGAAGTCCTCCGCGAGGGCGTCCGAGCAGAACTGGTAGAAGCTGTCGGCCAGGTCGAGCGAGGCACCGTAGATGGCGGGCGCCGAGGTCGCGTCGGAGGCTCCCAGGGCGGCGTCCGACCAGTCCTGCTCGGCGAGCGCGGCCGGAGTCCCGAGGGCAGCGTGCGGAGGACTCCAGTGGGTCCGGTTCGTCTCGCGGGCGTCGACCACGAGCCTGATGAACCCACCCTTTTTCTCGACGAAGAAGCAGCCCACGCGAGCACGAATACGCCGACGGTAGCCGACAAGGCCTCGCTCCGCCAGGCGGCGGACGAACCTGACCCGCGCGTCGGGCGAGCCAGCGAGGTGAGGGTCCCAGTAGGGCACGATGGGGTCGAGCACCTCCGCATCAGCCAAGAAGACCCTGTCCGGCTTCCGCACGTACCGATCGGGGTCGGCGAAGGCGCGGACGACGAAGTCGGGGCAGATGTCCTCGACACGCTTCGGGACGATCTTCGACTTCCAGAACTTGAGCTTGTCCTCGCTGTAGGGTGCGACCTTGGAGGGCGCCCCGGCGTACAGCGAGTCGGACTTGAGGAGCTCCTGAAGGGCCCCGCGAGGTGTGAGCCCAGGCGGCCGTGGGCCGTGCCGGCCGATGTTGCGACGCAAGTGGGCGAGGCAACTGGCCTGCGTGGCGGAGGGCTCGCCGGGCTTGGTGGAGCCACGGGCTGGCACGCTGCCGAACCCGTGGACCGAGGCACGGGAGAGGTCGTTGATCGAGCGAACGGCTTCCCGAAGTCGGTGTTCGCGACAGCGTCGACGTACGGCACGGAGGGCCAGATACCTCGGCGCGTCAGCCAGGTCCACGAACCCGGAGGGCTGCGGGACCGGAAGGGGCAGAGGCTCACCATGACGACGATGATCACGACGAGCCATGCCGAAGAGAACAAAACTGCGGACGTGGAGGAGCCCACGCCGGGAAGGCCGGCCCGGCGCCGCGGGGCGGTGAGCCCGCCGGCCGGGACGGCAGGGTAGGGGGCCCCTCGCCCGCCTACCCGCTGCCCTCCTTCTTGGGGTGCTTCGGCGGCTTGTCCTTGGAGCCGCCCGCCGAAGTCTCCTCCCGCCACTGCCTCCCTGCCTTCATGATGGCCGCCTCGGACCGCTGCTGCTCGCCGACCCAGGCATCGAAGGCCGGGAGCACGAAGCCGCCGGACTCGTCGATGGCGGCGTCCAGCACCACGTCGAGCCCGTCGAAGTCGGGCTGCCTCGGGTTCCGCCTGGTGGCGGCCTCGAGCTGCTTCAAGCGGCGCACCATGTACTCCACCCCCGCCACGTTGTAGAGGTCGAGCTGGTCGAACTGCTGCATGATGCGGAGCACCGAGCAGAGCATCCGGTGCTCGCGGGCGGTGTTGCTCTTCTCCGGGATGCCGGACCTTCTCACCCACGTCGTGTGGTGTTCGTCCCAACCCTCCTGTCCGGCATCCCGAAGAGCGAGGCAAGCCTCGCGTGTGGCCCGCTTCCCCTTGAGGGGCCACCCAGGGATGGCCTGCTCGCGCATCTTCGAGACAGAGGTCCGGAAGCTCATGAAGCGATCCTTCTCCTCGTCCCGCTCGTCGCCGGCGATGCGCGGGTCGCGGCCAGGCCCTCCACGCGCCCGAGCCTGCCACTCCTCGAAGGAGCTGCCGGCCTCGACCCGCACCGCCGTCTGCCACACGTCGTCGATGAGCACAAGGCCCACCTCGCCCCGGCGGAGGAGCAGCTCGTCGTTGCCCAAGGCGGCCGCGGGCACCTCCTCCCCGTAGTGGAGCGAGGTGGGGTCCGAGACGAACCAGCGCTCGTCCACGGCGAGGGGGGCGGCCGAGGCGGGATACCCGAGGATGTCCCCCAGCGCCCGCGCCTCGCGGTAGTACTGGTGCATCTCTGCGGCGTCCACATCGGCATCGTCGAAGACGTAGATGTTGCCCCGATAGCGGTCGGGGAAGGCGCCCCCCCGCTGGAGGGCGCACACGCGGAAGCCTCCTAAGTTGGCCGCCGCGATCTCCCCGTCGGGAGTGACCCAGACCCACCATTGGTCTGGCCCTTTGACCAGGAGGACCCTGTGGTGCCACTGGAAGTTCTCGTCGTCGTCGTACCGCACCAGGCACTGGGCGTAGGGCACGTCAAGCGCCCTCGGCATTCACAGCACCAGCCCGCCTCCGCACTCGCTGGAGGGTCGCCGGCGTCGCCGCACCGACGCGCTCCCCAGCAGGCCCCTCCGCGAGGGCCAGCGGCGGCAGGACGGCGCGAGGCGCCCCCACCCGCAGCAGCCAGGCAGCCGCAGCGGCCACGCCGGCGGCGAAGCTCGCGAGCCCGACGAGGACCACGAGCGCCCAGGCCCCGGACGGGGCCGCTGGGGCCGGGCACTGCGGACAGACGCAGGCCGGGCACGCGGGGCAGGCCGCCCCGAGGTGCTCCGGGCCGCAGCGCGAGAGCTGCTCCCGGAGGATGTCCAGCACGCCCGAGCCCGGCTCGTGCCCGCTGAAGATGCAGGTGCAGGACGGGTCCGCGGGCGGCGCCGGCGCGGACCAGCGGGACGCGAGGATCCCAAGAACCCAGCCAGCCGCCGCCTGCATGCACGGGGCGGCGAGACTGGTGCCCAAGAAACCTTGAGCAAAGAGGGGCTGTAGAGAGTTCTGTTCAGCCGTATCCTGGTACGGCACACGGTGGGGGGGCCCGCTGGACAACACATAGCGCGCGAGCACGTACAATATATATAAAATAAAAAAAATGCGCAGGGCACCAAGGGCCGCCGCGCGCGCGATGGCCCGCGTGCATATTGCATGACAAACGCAATGCGCGAGGGGCCAAAGGCCGCCACGCGCGCGGCGACCCACGCGCGCCTTGCGCGGATAACAAAAAACGCGAGGGGCCCGGGCCGCCGCGCGAGCGATGGCCCACGCGCACCTCGCATGGACAAACACAACGCGCGAGCGTGCCAAGGGCCGCCGCGCGCGCGGCGGCCAGCGCGCACCCCCCACGGGCACGCCCAATGCGCGAGGCGCCAAGGGCCGCCACGCGCGCGATGGTCCACGCGAATATTCCATGACAAACACAATGCGCGAGGGGCAAAGTGCCGCCGCGCGCGCGGCGGCCCACGCGCGTCTTGCATGGCAAAACAATGCGCGAGGGACCAGAGTCGCCTCGCGAGCGATGGCCCACGCGCACCTTGTATAGAAAAACGCAATGCTCGAATGCGTCATGGGCCGCCGCGCGCGCGGCGGCCCACGCGCATCTTGCACCGAAACACGCAATGCGCGAGGGGCCAGGGCCGCCGCGCGCGCGGCGGCCCACGCGCATCTTGCATTGAAAAAACACGATGCGCGAAAGCGAATGCGCTGCCGCGCGCGCGGCGGCCCACGCGCATCTTGTGCACAAAGGAACTCAATGCGCGAATGGCCATGGGCCGCCGCGCGCGCGGCGGCCCACCCGCATCCTGAGTCGAAAACAGAATGGGCGGGGGGGGCCAGGGCCGCCGCGCGCGCGGCGGCCCACGCGCATCCTGCATGGAAAAATATCACGCGCGAGGGGCCACGGGCCGCCGCGCAGGCCGCGGCCCACGCGCATCCTACAAGGAGCACATGAGGCGCGAGGGGCCATGGTCCGCCGCGCGCGAGCGGCCGCCCGCGCGCATCTGGCATCGAATAACGCAGCGCGCGAGGGGCCAGTGGCCGCCGCTCGCGCGGCGGCCCATGCGCACCTTGTTCGAAACAAAAACCAACAAGGCGCGAGGGGCCAAGGGCCGCTGCCCGCGCGGCGGCCCACGCGCGTCTTGCATGGCAAACACAACGCGCGCGGGGCCATGGGCCGCCGCGCGCGCGGCGGCCCACTCGGACCTTGCATGGAAAACCACAATGCGTCAGGGGCCATGGACTGCCGCGCGCGCGGCAGACCACGCGCATCTTGCATGGACAAAAACAACATGCGCAAGGGGCCAAGGCCGCCGCGAGCGCGGCGGCCCACGCGCATCTTAGATGCAAGAGCAATGCGCGGGGGCGCATCCTGCTTGGAAAACACCACGCGCTAGGGGCATGGGCAGCCGCGCGAGCGATGGCCCACGCGAGCCCTGCATGACAAAACAATGGCGGGAAGGGCCAGGGCCGCCGCGCACGCGGTGGCCCGCGCACATCTGGTGCAAGATAAACACACACACACACACAATGCGCTCGAAGCCATTGGCCGCCGCGCGCGCGGCAGCCTACGCGCGCCTTGCATGGAACGACGCAACACAATGCGCGTGGGGCAATCCCACGTATCTTGCATCGAAAAACCAAGCGCGCGAAGTGCCAGGGCCGCCGCGAGCGCGGCGGCCCACGCGCACCTTGCACGGAAACACACAATTCGCGAGGGGCCAAATGGCCGGCCGCGCGAACGATGACCCACGCGAGCTTTCTATACAGAAAAAACAACGCGCAAGTGGCACAGGGCCGCAGCGCGCGCGGCGGCCCACGCGTACCCTGCATGGGAGAACACACCGCGCGAATGACCAGGGCCGCCGCGCGCGCGGCGGCGGCGGCCCACGCACAGCTTGCATGGAAAAAAAAACCGTGCGCGAGAGGGGCCATGGGCCGCCGCGAGCGCGGCGGCCCACGCGCATCTTGCATGGAAAAACACAATGCGCGAGGCGCCGAGGGCCGCGCGCGCGCGGCGGCCTACGAACATCTGTCTGCTATCATGAGCTACTCGGGGGGGGGGGGGGGGGCCAGAATTTTTGCATCCATGATATATGGGCCGCCGCGCGCGGCGGCCCACGCGCATCTGGATTGGGCAAAGCACGGCGGGCATAGAAACACAGCGCGCGAGGGGCAACGGGCCGCGCTCGCATGGAACAACACAATGCGCGGATGGCAATGGGCCGCCGCGCGCGCGGCGGCCCGCGCGCACCGTGCACGGGGGGGGAAATGCGCGAGGGGCCATTGGCCACCGCGCGCGCGGCGGCCCACCCGCAGCCTGCATCGGAAACGCCACAGGCGAGAGACCAGGGCCACGCGCGCGCCCACGCGCATCTTGCAAACAAACACATCACGCGCGAGGGGCGCTGGGCCGTCGGACGCGAGGCGGCTCACGCGCATCTTGCATGCAAACATGCGCGAGGGGCCATGGGCCGCCGCGCGCGCGGCGGTGTCGCGCATCTTGCATGGGGAAACAACGCGCGAGAGGCCCGGGCCGCAGTGCGCGCGGCGGCCCACGCTCATCTTGCACGGAAAAACACGATGCGCGAGGGGCCATGGGCCGCCGCGCGCGCGCATCTTAAATGATATCAGCCAGCGTTGGCCCCGAAGAGATAGTGGGCGAGGACGGCGATGATGACGACGACGATGATGATGATGGCGATCCTGTTTTCCACGCGCACACGCCAGGCCACAGCGCCGCGCCATACTGGACCGCGCGGACCAGCAGCTGCATCAAGGGAGCATCGCGCCGACCACGCCTCCCTCGCGGGCTGTTCCGCGCCGCGCTCTGTCGGGGCGTCCACTGACGCGAGTTCCCGAGTCAGCTTCGCGACGACGTTTTCCTTTGCTGCGCGGGTTTTGGCACTCGTAGTTCCCTGGCGCACAACCGCCGCAGCAAGCGTTTTTGCCGTGGAGTCAGCTCTTCCCCAGCAATGTTGCGGAAACGCAATGCACGCTGGACCTTTCGCGCGGCGAAGCCGTCGCGCTTAATTGCCCCTTTCTCCGTCTGGCCCTTCCGGTGGTTCTGCCCGGCGCGGTCGTTCTGCTCGCGCGCGGCCCGCCCGAGAGTTTTGGCGGGCGCGCCCGCGCCGCCGACTCCGAACATCAGCAAGTGGGCGAGCACCTGCTCGTCGGCATGCATTGCTTTTGCCCGCGCGCGGAACGCCCCGCGGAAACGGGCCCCGCACTGTCTGGGCGTTTCC